TCCTGTCTTTGCCTGACCCGGCTATCAATCTGCTGACTCTACTACTGTCTTTTGTTTGGACTGAGCATCTGTCTGAGGACCTAAAGCTGATCATATATGTTTAGTTTTTTTTCTTGTTTATCCCACAGTTAATGAGAGATAACCAATCGATTTGCCCATCCATGCTGTTTAGCGTGGAAGGAGACTCTTCCACTGCTACCTATTGTATTTAAGCAGCCATGGGAGTGTGGCTGCTTGCATACCAGACATGAATATTTGAACCGTAGAGGGCCAGCTTTACACCATGTAGTATTTCTCCTGCCTGTTCCCAGCTGTTGCCCCTGCCAACACAGAGGGTTTACTAACCTTTTTTAAAAAAAAGATGTACAGTACCTTAGAGGGCAGGCCAGAACTCTGAGTTTAAAAAAAAAACCTATGCTCTTAGTTTTAAATAACAAAATGTTTAGTTTAGGTGGTTGCTACAAAATAGGTCCCCTTTTATTTCAGTTTTCATAGATTAATTCTAGGGATGCACTGATACCAGTTTTTCGGATCATGACCCGTCGCCCTGCTTCTGATTGCCTGTGAAGCCGATGTTCTAGGGAAAGAACACCGGCTTCACTTGCCGAAGCTGCCTGGCTTCCTTACCAATCAGGAAGCCGGGTGGCGAGTCATGAGGTGCCATCCAGCTTCCTGATTGGTCAGGAATCCAGGCTGCCTAGCAACAAGTGAAGCCAGGTTCCTAGCCAATCAGGTACTTGACCCGCTTCATGATTGGCTAGGAAGCCGGCTTTACTCGCTGCTGGCAGCGTGGCTTCCTATTCAATCAGGAAGCCGAGACACAAGTCTGGTTTGGAAGCCAGGCTGTCTACCAACAAGTGAAGCTGGCTTCCTAGACAATCAGGAAGCTGGGAGGTGGGTCATAACCCACCACCCGGCTTCCTGATTGGCTAGGAAGCAGTCATCACTTTTTCCTAGGCAGCCTGGCTTCCTAACCAATCAGGAAGCCAGGTCATGACGTGCTGCCCGGCTTCCTGATTAATTAGGAAGCCAGGCTGCCTACCAACAAGTGAAGCTGGCTTCCTAGCCAATCAGGAAGCCGTGAGGCGGGTCATAACCCACCCCCAGGCTTCCTGATTGGCTAGGAAGCCAGCTTCACTTGTTGGTAGGCAGCCTGGCTTCCTAACCAGACTTATGATACTCTTTGCTGATGAGCACCAATATTTTATTCATATTTCTGGCTCTGTATTTATTTATTAAAATATAGTTTAATACTTATTGAAGGCAGAGCCAGCTGTCAATCAGCCAGCGGGGTGGATCTCAACAGTTTTGTCTGGATCTGTCCCGGCAACGGCGCGGCTCTGTGCTCTCAGCATAAAGCGGGCAATATCCTGCTATATGCTGAGTTTTGGGTCAATGAAGGACGTTAGTATATGTCCTCCCGTGACCCTGAAGAGAACTATGGGCAAAAAAGGTTGTCACATAGTTCTCCTTTAAGTTATATATCAATGGGTTTGTGGATATTTTGTGCAATTTTTAGTGTGGAGTAGACTTCAATTTCTACCTGCACTTAACCAGGGCAGGTTAAAGGAACCATACACTGGGATATTAGGCACCATTCTGTTCCTGCAGATTATACTCAGGAACATCAAAGTTGTGTTGCTGTGCCTCGGGATCCCAGAGAATTCCTTTAAAAGTTTCGACTTTGTAGATACACAGCATATGCACTCCCTATCACATTCCTCAGTGCGATGCAGACACATCTCAGTTGGTCCCGAAGATGCTTGCATGCATTTTGAATATAGTGTGTACTAGTAAACTGGAAGCTTGGGATTCATTTTCATTTTTAAGCTGTCGGCAGGCTTCAGCACTGGTGTGGATGAAGCAACAACAGAATAATAATTCCAGAGAAAGGTCATTCCTTTTCTAAAAACATTGCATTATTTATTTTCAAATAAATGATGTTGTAATGGTAAAATTACAGTATGTGCTGTCTTGACTTCCCTTTTTTGCGTGCTCTGCAAAAAAAAAAAAAATGGTTTATGCTGACTGTAAAAGTTACGTTGGACAATGAAACCCCTTTAAAAAAAATGCTTTGTTGTGTAGATAATAGAGACAAGTACCTTTTTTCTGCGATACACGACACACGGTTGCCTTAGCCGCGATCGTGTTCAGAAGCACAAGTGGAATTGCGGTGGGAAACCGCCAGTCGCGACTGGGGTGCCATTGGAAAATAATGGCACCCACAGCGCAATCGGTGCAACTCCTGACCGCGCAGCATACAACTCCTGACCGCGCGGCATTCCGTGCAGAATCGTGCATGATTGCCGCGCGGTGGGGTATCGCATACAGGGCCGGTGCTACCACTAGGCAAACTAGGCAGCCGCCTAGGGCGCACTGATGACTAGGGCGCAGCCTAGACCAATAACTCCCCCATGGCACCCCCCGGTCTATTTGAAACTGCAAAAGCCAATAGCAGGCTGGCTATTGCGCACGCCCACTGAGCAGAGGAGCAGAACTGAGAGACAACTTTCTCTCTTAGGTCCGCTCCTCTGCTCAGTGGGTGGGGTTTCAATAGCCAGTCTGCTATTTCATATTAAAATAGCCAATAGCAGTCTGGCTACTGCTCCTGGCTGCTTACATCTACCTGTTGCATGCGGATGCTAGCCAGCAGGAGAATGGGGAAGCGCAGAGGGAGATTGGGGGTTGTGCCGAAGGAGGGGGGCTGCAAGTAGCTGGTCTTGCCTAAGGCGCAAAATAGTCTAGCACCAGCCCTGGTCGCATAGATGTGCACCAGCCCTCAATATACAATTTTTTCCCCCTTGGTTTTTATTGGAAATAAATAGTAAAAAAGAAAAAAAAGAATAAAATGCATTTTCCTGTAAATTTTTCTAATACAATATTTATGTAATTTGCACACCCATCTATCCCCCTTTCCACACTACATTGCAATGCCTGCAGGAGAAAAAAAAAACAGTTTATGTAATTTGTTTACATAACATTAACATGAGATTAATTCAGTTGTCGGGACGAGGGCACAAATTAGCATGACGGTGACTTTTTTTACTGGCATTGCTAAAGATTCAAATGACACTGTTCACTTATGTGAGCATTTGACGCTTTGCAGGCAATGCATATATCATCCAGATCATCCAATATCATTGTTGTGAGCTGGGGATTAATGTAAAACCTTTCAAAGAAGGTTTTATCTGTCTCAGAAAAATTACATAAAATGAATTTGGGTATAGTTTTACGTAGGGTTGACCCAAGGGTTTTTGCCACCTGGGGTGATGTCACTGGTTGTCAGGAGCTCGGCGGGCTGCCAGCAAGTGCGCCCCAGGTTGCTAACAGCTGGGCGTGGGGATGTGTTTGGCCATTATACATCTCCCCGCCCCACTCTTATAAAACCTAGGATGCTCTGACCGGAAAGGTGTGGCACACTGCAAAACCTTGTGCAGCAGGGCAGCCATGCCACTCCGCCTGCCGCCCTAACACGTTACCCAAAGAGAGGCTGCCTGAGGCAACAGCAGACATCCCAACCTCCAAAACCTTATTTCAGGGAGGTGCCCGTCTCATTTCAGGGAGGTGCCCTTTCTGTTTTTTTTTTTACAGCGGCCGCCGTCAGAATATAAAAGAAATTATAATAATAAATAAATATATA